CCCCCCCCCCCCCCAAATCTCATCAAGATGTCTACCACCGTACGTACAACCGCTTTGCTGTCCTCCGGCGCGAGTCTTTTTCTCGCGCACGTGTGTTCCAGAACAGTAGGCTAAGTACGCATTATGAATATAGAAGCGCAGCGCCGCGGCCAAGAAGAACCAGAAGGTGACGAAGAAGTTCATCATCAACTGCTCGCAACCCGTCAACGATAAGATTTTCGACATCCAGGCTTTTGAGAAGTTCCTCAACGACCGCATCAAGGTCGAGGGCCGCACCGGTAACCTCGGTGATACCATCCAGATCAGCCAGCAGGGCGAGGGAAAGATCGAGGTCATTGCCCACCAGGAGTTTTCTGGTCGCTACCTCAAGTACCTGTATGTTTTTTTTTCCGGCTTGTATATATGGAAATTGCGATGCAGGAGCTGACATGATGGGAACAGCACCAAGAAGTTCCTCAAGAAGCAGCAGCTCCGTGACTGGCTCCGTGTTGTTTCCACCTCCAAGGGTGTCTACGAGCTCCGCTTCTTCAACGTTGTCAACGACGAGGCCGACGAGGACGACGAGTAGATGTACATTTCCACTTAGAGATACCACCTCGGCTTGCATTATATGGAGTCTAGTGTTTGGAAATCAAGGGAAGGATCATAACGTCTACATGGCGGATAGCACGATCAAATGAATTGATGCATCTGCCAAAACGATGAATACTTGTGCTGTTGTGAGGTGAACCATGTGTGATCATGTTCTGTCTCAATTTTTCTTTTTCTTTTCCCTTGGAGAATTGCGCAATTGACTCTGAGAGTGAATTCCTTGTTTCCAGGCGAAGAGTAGGGGGTGGATCCCAGGAGCAGCGCTAAGAGAAGAAAAAAAAGAGAAAAATTCAAAAAGGGACTACTTTGTCGAGACTGTCTGAAAAGCACCTACAAGTGCAACGCTCAGAGCGGACCCTCCCCCCCCCCCTTGCATTTTCTACTCCACATGATGCTCAACGGCAGTAATGCATGATCTTCCCCGGCAGAGCTAACGAGCGCGAAGGAGAAAAGAAAAAAACCCCCAAGATGCAACGTGCGTCACAAGCTAAAACCTCCCATTGATTAACAACAAGGTTTTTTCCAAGAAAAGGGAAGAAAGCTTGCATGAAGGATTGTTCCATTCTTCCTTGCATGTGGAGAAAAAGGTCTCACCGTCTCATCTCAACGGGTCTGAAGGTTGTTATAACGTCGTTCTAGGTTGTTGTTTTTACATACTTATGACAAACGGATGGGTTGATGATGGTGGAGTGAGATGATGTGAAACACGTCCTTTGAATCTTTTACTCGAATGATATTTTGTAGTCGGCCAATCATCGTACCAGTAGAGGCTTAATATATGTCTCATTATACACTTTAGGTGTCGTAAGAGGCCCGCAATTTACACATCATGGTGAACAGAAAAAAAGTGGGAACTCTGGATCTTCAGGGAAAGAGAAACTGTTCGCCCAACCGGTGAAGCAACGTTACTGCGATGAGCGGTATAGGGACTGCTTTGTTGGCCCATTTGTTGTTCAGAGAAAGCTTGTGGCTGAAACGGTACAGTGGGCAAGAAGAATGGGTTGCCGCACGCTTTTTTTTTCTGCCCCGTAGATCGCCGGCAACGATCTTGGTGCTGCTACACTACTTGAGTGCGGGAACTAGTGACTTGTCCCGGGCATGTTAGTGTATAGACAGTGATTTGTTCGCGTGGTAAAGATCCACATGTCACAAGGCGTCAGTATGCAAAAGTATATCGAGACAACGCACTTTGAGTGCCACGCGTCATGCTGGCATACCCACCTTGAAATATCTCATGATTTGTTTGGAATAGGAGAGAATTTGTGATGTTGGGATGCTGTAACTTTCACCGGATGTGCGACCGATGAAACTCACAAGTTCTCGAATACTCATCAAGGTGTGCAGCCATATGCTTACTACTAGTAATAGACTACTACTAGACTGCCAGTGAAGATCCCGACCTGAGGAGCGCCACAGGGGTTATTCGCCATGTGATTGGCATAAATCGGGATGTGCCACAATGGGATGGTTCGAGAAGGCGAGGGTTATTTCTAGTCGGCCCGTCGCGGATCGTGGACGCAGCGCCTTGAAGCGGCTCTTCGGAGGCGCGACGCAGGGTGATGGAAAACGTCCAGCCACGTTCTAGACACGGCGAGGTACCTGTACATACATTTACAACCTCTGTTCAGTGGAGCAGATTGGCGGTGAGACATGAGTGAGTTTGACCATCATGGTGCCATGGCATGTTTGCGGTGATTTGAATGGCGTAATTATACGACATGATGACTCCCAAGTTGCGCGTCGCATGGTGGGCAAACCCGTGATGGATATCCGACGGGAACGAGGTACGGTACTCGGAATTCGCCTTGGAACAGGTGAGGGAACTATATGTGGGGCCCGTGGGCTCCGGTGGTCGGGACAGGCCAGGGGCATGCAGCGCATGCTGATGAATTTCCCGATCTGGTCATGGCAAGCCATCGACCTTGGCAGATGGACTTTCGGACATTCGCAGTGTGCGGCCGCCATTCAAGCGGCAGGGCTACAGATTAAGCGAGACGTTGCAAGATTCGCAAGGAATTGCTCGAAAGGCGTCTTGTACGCGGCCCACGTGATGGCTGGCGGATTGCTGCTGGGCGGAACAAGTTGCGTGATTGGCGCTAGTGCGTGGTCATGGAGGTTTCCATCGAGTAATGTAGAACAGTCTGGTCTCTCAACAAGTGGGTGCTTTTTTGACACGAGACAGCCTGAATCTCAGCCAGCATCGGACCGGGGCCGCCAAAATGTGTAAAGAGACTGTAAAAAGCTCTGGGTGGAGTGGGGAGGCCCGTCAGCGGCTGTGGTTGGCCCACGGTGCGAGGGAAAAATTCGCTGTCTTACCTAACGCCGCGGCTTGGCGTGGGCACCATGGATGGTCAACACGACAGCGACGACGGTGAAGACGATGCACAATTCGCATAGAGCCACCATGGGCGCATACAACGTGTCATGTGGGTGTGAGCGACAATGCAGGTGTGCATGATGTGCTGAGAGCAGCTGAGCTGCAGGCTACGAATATGTATGCGAAGGGTGGTAGGCAAGGGCGGTTGCGACGATGCTATGGCCGAGGAGATGCTCAATTGCCCGTCCCCAGATCGCATAGCACAAAGGATTTTTTGGCGACAGGCACAAGACTAGGGTTGCGGGGAAGAGGACATCACATGTGCGTCAGCGAATAATGTCCAGAGAGCGGGCAGTGTGCCGCCGTTTTGGCATGATGAACACCCCAGAGTTTGGCGGGTGGAGACGTAGGTGGTGCTCTTGGGCCAGGCTGGCGATGCGTGGGTGGAATGAATGGCCGCCGGCGAGCCACATGAGGTTCCCCGACGTCGAGCCACGACGGTGTAGACGGAGCATCCGCTGGCAGCGAGCTGCGGCGTAGCCGGGGCCCGAGGTCGCGAGCTGTCGGCGAAACTGAAATAAGCGGCAAGATGAGCATGGCGATGAGGACGGCATGTCAGCCGTGTAGAGTAAGTAAGTAGTGTAGGGCGTGTGTGCAATTGATTAATGGCAAATGGGCAAGTTGCCGGGTGTAGAGCGGCTGGTCATCATGGTCACGGGACCCAGCCGGAGTTTGCTCGCTCTTACCCTCGCTTGTTTGTTGACGTCTTTGGGGCCGGCAGGCACGCCAGGCAGGACAGGCAGGCACGCTCGCTGGGTTCACCGGCGATCTCGTGAGCGGCAGGCCGTGCGCGCCTGCCTCCTGACCCAAAAATTACACTCAGATGCAGGGATGCGCTTGCCGCAAGCGTCTAGGCCGAGTACGAGAAAAATCCCTGCTCGTGCCACTACCGATGAAATCATGCAAAGCTTCCATGAGGCAACCCAGTCAGGGAATTTCTCTCATGTAAAACCAGTCACCAACTCTCTTAAATAAGACCTCGTCCTTCCCCGGCCTCCAGTTCTGGTCATTTTTTCATAGCCTGCAATGTTCCTGCCTCAATACCTCATTAACCACCTCAACTCACACAAAGTAAACTCCTAAGCACACCACTGCTGCACTCCACGCTCTCCGCCTGCATATCGCTTGTCGGCCCACGCCCTTACCCCCATTGGACAATTCCTTATCTCTCCCACACACACATCTCCGCAACACATCTCTGCTATCTTCGCTGCCAGCCGTCCACTCACGTCGCTCACTCGCAGCCCTACCCCAGATTCTCTAGCATAGAATGCCAGGCCGCCTACTCAGTACCCTGGCGAGGGTGGCTCCTACACCCCTTCCTAAATCCGACTCCACCAAGCCACACGCTGAAGGCCTGCTACCCCCAGTCTATTCTTACGACGCCCCACGCGTCAAGGCAAAGTCAAAGTCGGAGGAATCTCTGGTCATGGACATCTTCAACCGCCACAAGCATGACAAGCATGCCAAAGAAAAGGAAGATGCCAAGAAGACTCCAAAGCTCGAGGCACAGGGCGCAGCTTCCATGAACATGAGCGTAGAGTCTCCGCCAATCGTCTTCTACAACACCCCCCAGACATCGACTGGCGCCATTTTCTCGGGCCAGCTCGTCATCAACGTACACGACCCCTTCATCACCGTCGACAAGTTTGAAATGCGCATGCTGGCCATTGTGACCACCAAGAAGCCCGTGGCCCCACATTGCCCGGATTGCACCACTCAGACCACTGAAATCCACAAGTGGGAGTTTCTGACCCATCCCGTCTCGCTGCGTCACGGTCCCCACAACTTTCCCTTCAGTCACCTGCTGCCAGGTCACCTGCCAGCTACTACCCACGGTAGCCTTGCCACGGTTGACTACTACCTTTCCGCCGTAGCTACCACCTCTTCGGGCAAGATTACTTACAAGCGCAATCTGGACATCAAGCGCGCTATTTTCCCTGGTGCGGAGAAGCACTCCATTCGCATTTTCCCGCCGACCAATCTTACAGCTTCCGTCAAGCTGCCGCCAGTAATCCACCCTATCGGCGATTTCCCCATCGAAATGCGCCTTTCCGGAATCGTTCAAAACAAGGCAGACTCGCAAACGCGGTGGAGACTGCGCAAGCTCAATTGGCGCATTGAGGAGACGCAAAAGTTTATTTCTCCAGCTTGCGCCAAGCATATTTCAAAGGTTGGTGGTGAGGGCAAGGGCGTTCTCCACGAGGATGTCCGTGCTATTGCCAACGAAGAGGTCAAGACAGGTTGGAAGACCGACTTTGAAAAGGGCGAGATCGATGTCGAATTCCAGGCGGCCTGTAACATGGCCATGAAGCCTCTTTGCGACCTCGAAAGCTCAAACGGCATGAGCGTCAAGCACAACTTGATTATCGAAATGGTTGTCGCTGAGGAATGGGCGCCACTCAAGAAGCTCAGCCAAGCTACCCCCACCGGTGCCGCCCGCGTTCTCCGCACTCAATTCCACCTGGTCCTTACCGAGCGATCAGGTATGGGTATTGCTTGGGATGAGGAGCAGCCTCCGCTCTACGAGGATGTTCCCGTCAGCCCACCCACCTACGTCGAAGAATGCGAGTACCCCTTTTCCAACATGAGCTCTCGGTCTGGTAGCTTTAGCCTTGAGCGGTAGTTTTGGATTACTCTCTCCTTGCGTTATTTATACCCCACTCGTCACGCTTAAGCAGACGATTCACGAATTTCCTTACTTGGCCACTGTCTGATTTTTACTTGCAATCATCACTTTTGGACTACGTAGGATATACCCCCGTTTGTACTTGGTTTTTAGGCGTTGCTTTGCTATATGCTCGCCTCTCTCATTTGTTGTCGGCGTTTCGGTTCGTTTGTAGATTGCTCGAGTTGAGCGTGCAGCAAGCTCCTCGAATACTGAGATAGACATTCAGCGATAAAAGTTTCCACTCAATAGGACTCTATGGTTTACATAGTCCTACTAGTAGTACATAATACAGGAATACATTCCTACTCCTTTAACTCTAGAGCTATATGCAGTGAAAAGTGATTTACTTTTGTGATGACGAAGCTTTGCTCTACAGATCATTCGACTCAATCGTAGTAATAGAACTTATTGCGATGGAAAGAACATCATATGACGCCAGTACATATGATGAGCATCGGCTCACTAAACCACCACCACCACCACTACCACCAACTCAGCAATACCTCTGCAACAACCACAACACCATGCAAAACCAATATAATAACCATCTCACATCTCGCGTCTCGCGCCGTACCGCCCCATCCCACAGAGCCGCTTACACCTGCCGAACCCTCCAACCCCATCATCACACCACCTCACCAATCCCATCCCATCACGGCCATCTCACCCCATCTCCCCCATCGGCACCCGCCGCACCGCCCATCACCCTTACCACTTCCTACATCCATCCTTACACAGTACCGTCCATGCCGACCCTCACTCCCGCCGCACCCATCTTACTATAAGGGTTCTTAACATCCCTATCACGAGCCGCCGCTGCCAAGCCCCCTTCCCAAAGAGCCTCAAACCGCTTACCCCCCCCCCCTGTCATACGCCTAATTAGGAAAGTCCATCCCTATATTCCGCGCATTTCCCTTTTCCGGCCAAACGGAAAATGGCACTAGGCATAGATTATAGTCTTTTTAACCTTGATTACATAGTTTTCCGCAAGTGCGGAATGGAACTTAGTGCTATGTGAGGGAACGGGCTTTGCCGGTTTGACCTTTGTCTAGGTATTTCGGGGCGCGGGGGGTTGTTGACGCGCTATACTGAGTAGGGTATGCGTGCTAGAGGGAGAAGGAAGTTTGTTTATCCGCTTTTTGGGGGAGTGGGGCGGAGGAGGGGAGAAAGTCTAGAATGTTGTGGAGAGGTCGACTTGGTGGTCGGTGGAGATTTATTAGGACTAGTTTTTTTCCTTTATTTTTCTATATAGCGGATGGCTGGCTTTGCATGTGCATGCAAGGGGAAAAGCGAATGGGGAAAGTTCGGGGTTGTGGGGATGGAGAGGGTTAGGGCGCGTGGTTTGTGGTGGAAATTGTTAAGTAAGGATTTGTTGGAATGCGGTAAGTGTTACGGGTGCTTGTGGAGCCTGGAGCGCTTTCTAGAATGACCTTGTGTCAGAGGTAGAGGGCGGCTGTTTTGAAGAATTTTTTTTCTCGAGGCGTGCTTAGTGGGATGGTTAGGGCGCTCGTGGCGTTTTTTTGATGTATTGGCGCCAAGGATCGTGAGTTTTTTTGAGCTACGGTGCCAAGGAGGGGCGGTGGTGTTGAGTTGGTGGGGACGTGTGCGCCGGTAACGGATGAGGGATTTTGTGCATCGTATATGTAAGGTGTGCCATGAACAATTGTTTGGGTTGGGGGCTGATATGGGGTAGTTCGTATTGCTGTCAGTGGCTGACTTGGGTGAGTTTTTGCTTAGGATTCAACGCATGGTTGTAGTAATTAGCGGAAATCGGAATAGAGGTTGGGTACCCAACCTCTCCATACTCCTGTTCGGTTTTCAATTGATAATGTCACCTATTTTGGAGAATCTCCACTCCAATGCGCACGATATCCTCTTCCAAAGTACTGCGATGATGGAGAACGTTGAATATATGACACCATGGTGTGGGATTAGAAGGTTAGATTGACGATCATGACACGATTAGACTAGTCACTCCTTTGGGTTGTTAAAACTTTTATCTCTTTCATGCCCAGTAGCGTTTTGTATTGTTCTTACTTTTATTGTCATCTGGATATCTTGATCTCCAGGCCACATCATAACTATTCTTAACGTAGCAAATTAGGTTTAAGTTATTCATGCTGCTACAAGCTTCTCGTAACGAAAATCCGTCTTTGCTATTAACACCACGCTCGAAACTCGACAGCTGCCAACACAGTCAGCAATCAATATCCAAGATTCTATCATGCGGATTTCCTTATGGGTAGAGTGCGGGAAATTTGAGTCTACAATAGAGCTGCGGCTTTATGACAAGTTATCCTTGTTTCCTATGAGACATAATCATGGACCAAGTCTATTGTCAAAACTCCCATTGGTGTCTCCCTTTTACCATCTCGATACCCGGCAATCATAATTGAGTTGACGTTTTGCCTTTCGCATAGCATAACCTGCACTTTCACATGCCATAGGTTTTCCCTCAAGTGTACGCTTTAGATTTGATGATTCTAGTAGTTGCCGAATCATAGAGAAATATTGTGTGCATATATATTCGTCACTCCACCCTTTCATGCAACTACAGCAATATTTTGGAAGTGCTCCATACATTTCTCTAACGGTTGTATCACATTTCTGACGATTTCGCCCCTCCAGTTCTTTTCTTTGTCTGTTACACCCGTAAAGCACCACTTGATAGCTGTCGCATAATCCTCTCCACCCTCGTCGCTTACGCTGCGTGACCACTTCAATCCGGCCATGACATCAAAGGCATGTTTAGTGGCGGCGTTGATATTTGGTGGATGATTTTTGCATACAGCATGATCTTCCAGGCGACAACCAAAACAAAGCTCTAAAAGAAGTATGCCGAGTGCGTAAAAATTGCAGCCATCCGCAGAAGACTGAGTGCAAGAAAAGTGAGTGTGATTGTGTAGAAAACCCTGTTGGATGAAAGGTTTGCCGTATGGAAGCAATTCGTTGTTCTCTTGAAATGGAAGGAAGATGACGTCTTCTTTGCAAAGGCCTGTCCGTAGCCAGGGTGTAGACTGAAGTTGTGCTACCGATGAAGCTACAAGGAGAGCAATCTGGTAGCGTTGGCGCCGCGAAAAAGGATCTTCAAAGTCTTGAGAGAGAATACGGTCAAGTGTTATGGGACCGTTTCCGGGTTGATTATTTTTCTGGTTGACCGGATGAAGATGAAAGGCTTCGTCATCATGACTGACGATACCCATGCATGCTTCACACTCTTCGTCGCCTAATCGCCGGCATAATTGCACGTTATGATCGACAAACATGTCTACTTGAATCTTTGGTACAGTGGGTATAAATGGCGCGAAATCCACTTTCTTGCGGAGGGTATTTGAGTGCAGTTTTATACCAGTTCGTATAGGCAAAGGGTCCGGCTGGTGTTGGGTCGTCAAAGACTTAGTAGTTTCCAGTCTCTTCTGAGACGAAGAACATCCAGGAACATGACCGCAGAGAATTTGTTTCTGGCTCCACGGTGTAACTCCGTGTTCTAAGGGAGCGATAAACATGAAGACGATCTCGAAACATACTTCGGTAAATGTTCGATGCTCAAGTCTCAGGTTCGCGAAGTGGTACTGTTGACACGAGCACTGCCATGCATTCTGCAGCGCCTGAAACAACAGATTTGATTTCTTGGAGATCTTTTTGAAAGCGGACTCCGACTCGGAGGTTGTTCTGGTAGATCCAGGTGCAGAATCTTGGAGTGCAGAGACTCTATCGTTGGAGCCCAGCAACTTCTCCAGGCGCTCATTACATTCTTTCAGTTGTCCAAAAAGCTCACCTCTGATCCTTTCCCCAATACTGAACTTCATTCGGAAGAACTCATAATCCAGTCTGCCCTTTGCAGTGGATAACTTCGAAGGTCTTGCACCCTGTTGAGGACTTGGCGACCGATTGGCGCTCCGTCGTTTTGCCTCCGGTGGTAAGAGCTTATCCTGAACATTCTTCTCGTCAAAACATAACTCTTTCTTGAGTTCTTCAGCGATCTCGTTCATTTCAGCCATAGTATCCAAATACGATTGGTATGACTCTTTCAACCTGCATTCCAGTTGTTTTTGTAACGCCTTATCACTCCACCTTAGACCCCCCGGGTTTGCGATGAGCTTCGCAACTTCATCAATATCGTGAAGGAGTGGCAACAAGAGTTCTTTGAGGTTGTTCTTATACACGATTTCATAAAACTGGATATCGCGCTGGCATTTGGTGTATTCCTTACGTATCCGCCAGTAAAAGCCGCCGACCTTCGCAACATCACGCCAATGCTCGATGCCGCTTATGAGTAACGGAAAGGCACCAAGAACGATACCTGCTACCTCCAATCCGCTCATACTGATGTTTGTACAGTTCCGTTAAAATGAGTAATGTAGATGGAACAGTTGGGTATGAGGAGTTGGAAGGCTGAACGGTAAGTGTGGCGTTCCTTCCCCGCGTTTTTGGCCCCACGGGTAATTTCTGCCTTCTTGCGAACCCCCCATGACACCACGATCATTGGGATATTCCTATTGTTAATGTTCTAATGTTATTGCCAGAACCGCCTCGCAAGACCTGAGCACACAACTATCTTTTTTGGGTGAACTATATTCTTGATGACTGGATTATGAGACATGACGTTCTCCGTGTCAGACCAGTGCCGCTCCTGTATCGCTATTCTCCACGAAGTCATCTCGGCTCTCGCCCAGCCAGATCGCAACAGCAACAATGTTAGGAATCTTCGAATGAGGGAGGAACTGGACAGGTTCAGTCTTTTTGTTGGGAACATTGGAGCTCTCCATCGGCCCGAATCGCCTATGTCCATCGAGTCACGACTACAAGGAGCCAATGATGTACTTACTCACATTTTGGGTCTCTTAGACGACTTGAAAGAAGTCATTAGAGACCTCCTGGATATTGTTTTGGGTGAAAGAGAAGAAATGGTCTCGGTGGCTGACGAGACTGAAGATGAGTGTGGAGGTATTAGCGAAGTCAACGAGCTTCAGGAAGAAATCAGTGAAACCGTTACCCGGCTCTTCAGAGTTTCAACTCTCATCCGACGTGCAGCACCCACAGATATATTTGCGAAAGCTCTCAGCCGTAACAGATATCACTTTAATGATCAATTCGACATTTCCCACGTTGGCGAGAAATATCCGAAGCTTGTCGCAAAGGACTCCGCCTGGCTTTGTCAACGGCTTAGGCGGGCTATTACTCAAAGAAGACGTTACCTCAGCTATATACAGGACCACCGTGAAAAGCTGGCAGATCCACTCAGTCACCATGAAAAATCGGGTGGTTCGGCCTACAAACCTCAGATTCCTAACATCAAGCAGTCACTGGGTCCGAAGCCAACGCTAAACAGGGAGAGTCTACCTTCCTTCTTCACCAAAGCCACCACTATCGCCGCCGAAAAGCTCGCGCCTCAACTGAACGTTGCCGATGAATCAGATCCAGATGATGCTCGTTCTTACACAACAATTTCCCGCTCGATCGACAGCGACCATGAGTCATCCACCAATGTTCGCATCCCAAAGCTTGATTCTTTACGCACAGATCGTGGGAAAGAGTTTGAATGCCCATTCTGCTTTCGCATCAAAAAGTTCAAGAGCGAGCGTATGTGGAAAAAGCACGTCTTCTCAGATCTTCGTCCATACGTCTGCACGTTCCCAGACTGTGATGCACCATATTTTGGTGACATCAACGAATGGTTCCAACATGAAATGACTTTTCACCGTGTGGATTATAAATGCTTCCTTTGCGCAAGATTCTTCAATCAAGAGGAAAAATACATTCTCCATCTGAAACGAGAGCATGAAGAGACTTTAGATGATGGCGGGGAACAAACAGCAAGAGATCTCTCTCGAAAGTCACTAGCTCAGATCCCAGCAACTGATTGTCCTTGCTGTTCTGATTGGTCTGTTCGTTTGAAAGAGCAAGTTATTCAAACGAGCGGATCAGTACCTACAGGGATTCTGGCTGTTACTCTAACAGTCTTTAAACGTCACCTCGCCGGCCATCTCGAGCAACTTGCACTTTTTGCCATCCCTATTAGCGCTTCGACTGATGCCAACAATGACTCAAATGCTGCTGTGGAGGAGGCAAAGAGTAAGCGGACAGACGCGTCAAGATTCTCGGCTTTGATATTTTCAAGCGACCGTGGTGGTGTAGAAAGGTCAACACTGGAAATACAAGTAGATGAGTCCAGGGGCCTTCTTCACACTGATATCCAGCCTCCCGAAAGAGAGACCAGTGCTAGCATCGAGTACCAACCTTCGGTATCCTCTCATATCCCTGTGGAAGAAACGTGGGAGAAAACCGAACAGTCAAATAGATTGGCGGCCTTGACTACCCTAGCAGTGGCCCTGAGCCGCTCAGGAACCTGGAAGGACGCGCATGCGCTGTATGCGCACGTGGTTGAGACTAGCAAGAAAAAATTCGGATTAGAACATCACAACTCAGTGAGTAGCAAGTTGAAACAAAAGTCAGTATATGAAGATTTTATCGATTTCGTCGCGGATGAAGAAGACTGTTTGCGAACGTCCGGGGTAGATAAGGGATTGCCTAGCACAGATTTTTGGGTCATCGTATTCAACCTTCAAAACGTAGCGACAGAACTACATAAACAGAGGAGATATACCGAAGAAGAAGTAGTGTACAGACAGGCACTAATGGCATACGAAAATACGCTAGGGGACGAGCACGTACAAACGATTTCAACGATCGCAGAGCTAGCATACGTGACACAAGAACTAGAAAAGTGGGAAGAGGCAGAAAATTGGTACAAAAGGTATCTAGAGTTACAACGGAAGAAGTACGGATATTGGCATCAATCAACGCTTCCAGTCGCGCGTCAATTGGTGCTTATGTTTGCAAAGCTGGGGAAACCCACAGAGGCAGTATATTTCTACAAAGATGCACTAAAGGGGTATCAAAGTACTTCTGAAAATGATACCAGATCATTGCTTTCATTCGGAAGTGACCTGGGGTCACTTCTAGTTTCTATGGAAAAGTATGAAGAGGCGGAGTTGTTGTGTAGAGAGTTGCTATCAGTATACCAAGAGAAGGATTGGCATCAAACTGAAGATGCGTTCTCGGTGAGAAAAACTCTGGCGGAGATTCTCAACTTCCAAAAAAAGTACGATGAAGCAAAGGATCAGTATAGAGATTTGTCACAACTGCAGTCAAAACAATTGCTGGAAGATTGTGACAAAATCCAGAAGCTGATTGTCCAGGGAATGTACGATCAGGCAAATTATGTCTGTATACAGGCTCTAGGAGCATGTAGAAAGAATTTCGGGATTGACTCCCCACAATCAGTGCCATTGTTGCGGGAATTGAGTGCTGCCCTGTTATATCAGCAAAGGCTTGTGGAGGCGGAAAATATCCTTAGACGAGCACTAAAGATTCACGAAGTGCCATTTGAAGATTCTGATATTACCATACTAGATGTCATGCGAGATCTGGGCAAGGTGATAGAGATGCGAGGAAGACTCGACGAGGCACATGTTATGAGAATGCGGATGGCAGATGCAGTAGTGGATATGGGCACGCAAGCGGCGCAAGCAGTGCAAGCAGTGTTGGGAACGAAAGAACAAGCGACGGCGCGACAGCTACAGGCAGCACGAGCGGCAGTACGAGAGCGAGAGATAGCGCAAGCAGCAGCGCAAGAGCTACAGGTAGCTCAGGAAACCATAGAGATGCAAAACGAGCAGGATACGAATTCTGGGGACACATCGGAGGATTGGGATTGGGATTCGGATTCGGATGACATTATATTTTGAGCTTAAACGCCGTGCCACATGACTAGCAGAATAGAACCCGTTTTCAAAAGTACATATTCCGCTTGTGACTTTCCCCATAGTGCTCAGCACTGAATCCAGATACGCTGAATATAATGGTTTAAAGGGTCTTGCAGGAGATGATACAAACTTTATAGTAGAGCCAAACCTACCTGTAGCTGCAAAGTTCGTCACTCATCAATGGATGAAATCTTGATCTTGTCCTCAGACTACTTTGCTAAGGGAGCCCTAGAATGATCAACAGCGTTGATACCTTTCTTCTCTTTGTGGCTAATACAAGCTAGAAGCTAAACTTTGCCTACACTCTTTGCTCAAAAAAAAGGAAAGAATTCTAAACATTTTTATTTTGGAGTAATAAGTTCTCAAAATTCAATACAGAGCAAGCATCCTTCAAAATCCCCCTTGAGAGCTACTTGAACTACGAAAAAAAACAGTGCTGTACTTATACACACTAGAAAGAAATACTAAAAAACTAGCACAACCCTGGTAACTCCAACTTTTAGATACAAACAGAAAAAATCAAATACCCTCCTAACCTTTCCCAGAATTAAAACCCCTTCATCCTATCAAACGCATCCGCAAACTCAGTATAATCCCACACCCCATCATCCTCCTCCTCAGGCGCAAACTTGGACCCCACAAACTCCCCCCTCGCAATCCTCGCCGGCTGCCTCCCCATCTCCAAATGCAAACACGCCTTCAACCCCTGATCCGCATCTGCCCAACAACACCCAAGACTCATCCAAACCGCCACAATCCCCACCCGCTGCTCCCTCGTCTTATTACCGCCTACGGCAAAGAACCCCGGACGCCACAGCTCATCCCCCCTCGGCGGCTTAAGCGAAAAAGTCAGCGATTCAAGATTAGGAAAGCAATCCAACAAGGCTTTCCCACTTCTCAGAATCTCAGGCCAGAAGCGATTTTTCCAGCAATACTTGACATGTTCGAGACTCTTGTCAAAGATACCGCGGGGACTCGCTTCCATGACGATATGTCTGACTAGTAAGTTGCGGTGCGCAAGACTGAGTTCGAGCAGGCGGGCGTTCCACGAGGAGAAGACGTTGGCAGAGTAGAGAATGGGACTGCTTTCGGCGTTGAGCTGGCGGCACGTGCGGAGTAGGGCGACGGGCAGGGCGCCGTTGACTAGGGGTTGCGGGGCGCTGGGGCCGCGGCCAGCGTGCTGGATGTTCATTGCCCGGGCGACGAGCCGCGCGGCTGTCGGGTCACGTGTGTAGATGAGGAGGGCGCCTTGGATGCGGAAGGCGAAGTCGTAGACTAGGTCGCGGAGTTCGCGTGGGAGGTCGAGGAAGCCGATTGCCGTTTCGTCTTGGTTGTGAGATTGCGTCCATGGTGGTGTGGTGCCGTTTGGGGGATACTTTGGGTGCTTTTGGTGTGGGTTAGCTGGCCCAACTAATGTCCTTGGTAGTAGTATGATAGTTGGGCGCCGAGTCAATCCGGTTGTAATAGTTGGGGGTATACGCACTTGGAGCGCCATCTTGACGTAATGGTTCTTTCTGATACGAAGACAGTGTCAAGGCAGGTTTTTGATAGAAATTATTTACGGATTGAGGTTGCGTGCAGAGCTGAAAAGGGCCACACGGAGGATTTCTTGATTACATGCAGCATTATTGGGCTAACCTCGTTAGGAAGGACTGGAGCTGAGACGCCCTACAATCCCTAATTGGCACGGAATAATTGTATGCCTTGCATATTTCTACACGACCACATTTAGCTACACCCCGTCTGTCGATATTTTTAGAAGGAAATATATTCAACGTGTCCAGGAGGTTTCGTCTCACGCCACTTTCTACGTGTACCACAACGTCACACAAACTTAATATTCGTCAATACCCCTTCTCTGTCCCAGGTTCCCCTCCAAAAGTTCTTCTACCAGCGCCACTGCCTGGATCCTCACTTGCTTCTGGGTTTTCTTCTTCCTGAGATCCTCCCTTTCCCTTTCTAACCTTTTCACATTTTCCCTTGCTTTATCCAATTCAACATCAACATCTCTCAGACGTTGTTCGCGGTCCTTCATGCTATATTTCACTTTCTTATAGGTGCAATTCGGTCCGATATGGTCGCCATCCCGCACCTTACCTCGCTCTATTCCGGGAGCGCGGTTCACGCTAAGAGAAGATAGCTGGCTAGTGAGGTCTCGGACCTTGTACCATGAGCCAGATGGTGATGACGAAGGCGAGGACGAGTCAGGAAAAAAGTGCGGGCGAACATGAAGATGATTGTTCAAATTGTGCGCAGGTTGATCGGCTGGGCGCCTGAAGGATGTATACCAGCCTGCGGTTTTGAGCTCGGCACGAGCTTTATTAACATCGTTCTCCAGTGCTCCACTAACTTCAATGGCATTGAGAAAGCGTGACCGGTAAGGACCTTGCTGACTTTCAAGTTTCAACAGGTTGGGTGGCTCTACGGTACTGTGACCCAGCGAGTCGCCGTGGTAATAACCAGGGCTCGATGCAGCAGGGCAACGTGTAAGAAACATGCGTGCCCAGACTTTGAGATCAGGGTCTAATTCGCAGCCTCGGTAAATCTCTTTGAGAACAGCTACAGGGTCCTCGTATAGGACACCGTATGTGTTCATGCGATCCAAGGCGTAGGCCTTGCAGTCTTCGAAGCCCATATATAAGCCGAGCTTGGCAAATCGTATGTCGGCTAAGACCACAACTGCTTCAACAGATATGTTCTGGGGCTTGATGATAGGAGGGGCTTTGTGTCGGACATCTCGATCGACTGCAGCGCCAGCAAAGACATGCGGATCAGGAGGATAAGAGCCAGTATGGAGGAATTCGAGAAGGCGCATGAACGTGTCTTCCGAGACCTCCTTATGTACTCTGAGAAAACGACTGCCAGCCTTATCAAAAGCTCTCATGACACTCGGAAACCGCTCAATCTTTTCCCTGCCAACAAGGACTGGTCGATCCCTGAAAATAAACTCGATAGACTTTGAAGAAGAACCGAGGTGCGCCCGACGTCTCTTCACCAACTCGTGTCGTCGGACATTGTACACCTCTACCTCGAGACCCCGAATACTTGGTGGTAGGTCAAGCATTGGTTGGCAAACATTCTTATACCACTTGTCCACCTCGCTATCAGACGGTCCGCGGACATCACTGTGACAATGGCTAAAATACCACTTGTTCCCATCTTCGTGCTCGACTTCGTCTCTTGTCCACGGGCGGTAGTAGTCGTCGGCATAGTGATGTCTGCTGGACAAGCGATGCCCATAGTCCAAGGTTGTAAGTTCTCTACCATGAGCAGCTGAAAGCCTCCTGATGGCGAGCATGATCTTGCCGAACTGTAAGCCGTGGTTCAGACGCCCATAGTCCATCTCGTTCTCCTTTTGCTCGCCACAAGCCACAAGAAAGTATGCGTGGATCATGTGGTGGATCAACGTAGCCACAATGTCCCGCGCCCGACCATGTCTGATTGCATCTTGGTTGAAAATGATGGAAATGCGCTTGACTTCCGGATTGGGTCCCCATCGGTGCGTATAAGTAACACCAGAAATATCAGAGTCTAATCTGCTGACATCGAGAAAGACAGAGTTCTTCAAGAATCCAGCAAACAGAGCTTGGTCGAGTTTGTTGAAGATTTGAAAAGGGATTTCTTCGCTCAAGCTGTTCTCTTGGAGTGCTGCTGCTTGTCTGCGAATGTTCATAAGTGATACAGCTGCATCTACCCAGCGTTGTTCCAACTGGTCGACGAGGAAAGCCACAGCCCAGTCAATGTTCCATTCCAGGTCTCTGTCGCACCGCAAATAAGGGTCTTGCAGCTGCAATGTGGTATTCAATAATGGATGGCCATAACTGTAGGAGTCGAGAGGCAGATACACGTCCGATAGTAAATCAGACAAGGGGGACTGAGAGCGTGAGAACACTTCTTCGTCGACGAAGTCATCGCCAAACGGAAATAGCGCCAGGAGGTCAGTAAAGCTCAACGACATGAAGTCAAGTAGAGATAGCGAGGTAAGTCGGTACATCCAAAAAATGGCCAAAACGTTGGTGCGCCTGGGCGAGGGACGCCACTTACAACTATATAGTCAAATGGAGTTAGCAACGGTAGTGTTTGACCGTTGCATATGCGTCGTTTGATGATACTTTTCTATGAAAAGTCTCCTCATGCTGGGTTCCCTTTGTATCTAATGGTTACCGGTTTTCAGGATGAGGTGATACAGGTGTTGTGACAAACCGTTTGCCGTGGATATCATGGAAGCTGGGGCTTTTGGACTGTCAAAGAAAACCCTTACCCATCTCATTGGTGCCCTTATCAAACAATCGAGCTGCTTCCATATCAGTGTGACATTTGTGTCTGTTCTCAATGAATTCCAGAACGCTCAAGCATGCCACGAGAGCAGAGCGATAGCGCCAGCATTGTCGCACCGAGCTAGCCAACACATCTCCAGTTACACAAGACCCATTGCTGGATCTATACAGACGTTGGTAAGAAAGCGTTTCTTTTACCCACTTTGAAGCTGACCTGGCAATTGTGCACATTAGTAGAATGATGAAATCTGAAAGACACGGAAGCGGGCGGATAAGAGGTAAGGATGGTATAGTGTGTAGCTAACGAAGCCTGCAGCAACACCAGGTGCGGCTCCAATCATAGAACAAAAAACAACAGATGGGATATACAAAGCACGTAAGAGGAGCGAGAATGGATGCGCACGAAATGCTGAAGCGCCTGACTATTAGCCGAATCTCCTTTCCCCCCGAGGATGTCGTAACACATAAACAAAGACGGGTAATAGGCTTGTCTCGATACGTGGGCGCTTGCCACTATCGATGCGGGCAGAACAGCGAACAGGACTCCGGACATGTTTGCGCCGCCACCACTAGCCCTAATTATTAATAACGTGGGCGATCATCGGGACGACCGTATTCGTCAACAGCCCTTCCACTGACTGAGCCGGGGCGCGAGCCGGGACGAGAAGTCCTTCCGCCTCCCTCGCCGTAGTGCTTTCGCCTGAGAGCGGCTAATCGCTTCTTCTTGGTGTGGGCGTTGATGTATGTGCCAATGATGAAACCGATAATGTTGAAGAAGGGTACCCAGGTGGTCTCCGGGAGGAACTGCTGGGCAAAGGCCAGCGAGAGGGGCGAGACGACCCAGCTGACCTTCATGACGGGCCAGAAACCAGCCTTGACCGTAGCCTTGACTTGATGGAAAGTGCGCGCGCCGGCAATGAGGGCCATGCAGATCAGGTAGACGCTGTTTTGAATGGGCGCAACCTGGACGGGCACGGGTTAGCGGGCCATCGGAAGTGAGAGCGGACTTGTACTCACGATCAAGTTGCTAGCAAGAATCTGCAGGACCTTTGCCTTCAGACTCTTGCGGCCCTGGAAAACTTTCTGGAGCGCGCTGATCAGGACGTGGCCCAAGGGCGCACTGATCAGAGCGCCGTAGATGGCCATCTTGGGGACGCGCGAGGTGAAGTAGTGACCGGACTTGCTCCGGTCATGGGCAATCCACGAGGCGAGGAACTCCTGTAGGCCGGAGAGGGTACCCGAGGTGAGCATCTTGGTGCGCAATGGGTTGCTCTGCAGCTGCTTGAGGTAGGCCTAGGACGCGGACAGTCAGTTGGAGAGTTCGACGCAGCATGTCCGGAGGAGCCAAACTCACAGCGAGGTAGCCATTGGGGCCGCCGCCTTTGGTGATGGCCTGGCCGATTTCGTGCATCAGGTCGTCGTTGCCCTTGGAGGCCGCGTCGACGGCAGCGGCCGTCGAGTGGAAGGTTTCCTTGTCGAACTTGACCGACATGGCGGCTCAATGGGATGCGACGGCAGCGGAATGCAGATGGGCGCGTAGAGAAGGAGAATGCGGCGGCCGGGGAATGTTGTTGTGGGGGAGGGCTGGAGCTGTTGAGCTGACGTGCGGATGGCTGGGGGATGAATGTAAACAGCCTCGGATCCCAGTCCGTGCTAGCGCCGTCGCCCGACGAGGATGCAGAGACCGTCGAGGCGGAGGTGTCGTGATCTGACACTGCACTACGACCTCGGCTCTCGCCTATCAGCCCTACTCCAAGTCCATGAGATATGTCTAGGAGAACGCCGGGCGTGCTGCTTGGATAGATAGATAGCAGCCTCGCCTCCAACGCCGTGGCAAATGGCCTAGCTCCTTTTGCAGCGAAGCGACCCAAGAAGCTTTGGCACAGCGGCCATCTGTTCACCCTTGCTTTTCCCTTGTGTGCCGATGGAAGCGTCGTAGATTGCCCCAGCTGCCGATACAATGGGTCCATCTCGCATTAAACATGTGCCGCCCTCTCCATGGCATTCTTACATCGCCATACTCTACGTCAGCCGCATGGCTGCAGACTCGGATACGCGTGCGCATGCGCGTGTGTTTATCTGACTGCACCCCCACTGCCACCTCACCATGCTGGACGAGACTCCAGCGCCTCTCCAACCACGTGTTGCATACACACCGTCATGTCCATCTCTTTCTCATCTCCCCCCTTTCTCATCTGCTCCTGTTGATCGTCTTTCCGTTGGATTAAAGCAGACGCTGGGTGCACCGCCACTGGTCGCGTGGTTTGTATGTCGCTACCACAGCAAACAGTTGAGATGAACGCAGGGACCGTCAACCGTCTGTAGCACGGCAAGCAGCATTAAACACAATGTCAAAACACAAAAGTCCCCTGGGTAGCCGCCCTGCGAAGACACTGTCCGGGCGCGTCATGATTCCCTTTTCCGGTCTTTTCTTTGGCGTTTGACATGACTCTGGAACAATCCAGGCTTCGAGACCCGAATGTTCCTTCTTTCCCCTTGCTCCCTTTCACGTTTACAACTACCCTCGTGACCACTCTACCTTCCTCAAAGACTCCTCTTATCACTTCCAACTTGCTGCATCCTCACCGTCTTTCCACCCGACACCGACACCTCGCACCGACACCTCAACTCCTCACTCGCCCGCCAACCCCACCATCCTCGGCCATGGGGAAACGCACACAAACGACAAACTGCACTCATGTAGACATGGACCGTGTCTACGGGCACGATCAGCAGTGCTCTGTTTGTGGCTGCTCATCTTCCATCGGCTTCCTCTATCAATGCAAACAGGACAATGAAACCGAGCACCTCAGCCATCTGATATCGCGAAACACATCAAACATCATGCCAGTTAAATCGAGGTTACGGAAAGAGCTGGAAAGAGCCGGGTTGAGCGAAAGTATTATTATTGCCGCAGAGAGCGGACACTACACCAATCAGCAACTGCAAAAACTGAAGCAACTAAAGCGCGATCTGCAACATACCATCATCGATGTACAGCAGGCTGATCAGGCCAACGATGCCATATCCAGGCTCATGGATATGGCAATGGCGCCTTGTGGCACTGATGGTGCCATGAGTAGTCTACTCCCTGCAGACCCGGTAAGTAAACATGTGTTAAATTAGCACATGCAAGACAATTGCAATGATAAAGTCGGATGTCACTAACAGACACCCAGGAACCTTCAGGATGTAACTTCAAAGCATGCCATGGATGCCGCCCCTATTACCTGGACCGCGTCTACATTTCTTTTGGAGCCGTCATGGAAGGCGAATTCCCCCCCTTGACACGAGCAGACATTGCAAAATTACCCGTCAAGCCTGCTGCAACCATGCGCAATATCGGAATGAGAAGGCAACCAGTACCGTCATCCAGGACGCCCAATGCCACACCATCCACAAGGGCGACCTTCAATTCCCCCGCCACGTCAACTAGTCTCCGCCACTCGCCATCCTCAAACACGACCGACTCCAGTGCCGCCACATTCCAGACATCGCAAACCGACCTCGACGAAATCGCAACCCAACGCCGTCCCCGCCTCAACTTTTACAAAATCGGCCGTCTTCCCTCAACCGACAAGCCATCTTCCCGCTCATCGCCCCTGGTCCCTCAAGGCTTCAAGTCAACAATCCAAGGCATGTTCCGCTACAACCGCGACCCCAGTTCCACCAGCACATCCTCAACCTGGGACACCACAAACTCCACCTCCACCTCAACTAGCTCCTGCAACACAACCCGCGTGCGACGCCCCCGCCGAGAAAATAAACATGACAATCACCATCCTCAAATCCCACCCACATCATCATCCTCAGCAGATAGCGCCATCAGCACAAACTCGGCCTTCAAACTCTACCCCCTAGAAAAAGACTCACATACCCGCGTCCCGTCGACGGGGAGGACGCACACGGCGCGAATGCACATACCAGATGTCGCTACGATTACGCTGCCGGATCCAGCGTCACGGTTGGCTAAGTCGGGGGCGGTAGTTAGGACGAGGGAAGTTCCTGGTGAGGCGAATGGACGAGGGAGGGGGGTCCAGAGTATTATGACGCAAGTTTGAGACGAAGACCTTGGTTTGTGACTTTTTTGGTAAAGGGGGTGATGGGGTGACTTTGGGGGAGTTTTGAGGATTAACGATTGCATACTGGTGACTACTGGGTAAAGGAGGGACTTTAGGTTACGGAGGTTAGGATGGTAGTAACGATTCATGCGACTATTTTTTTTGATTTCGTTCTTCACTCCAGCGTAAAGAGTGTACGTGGTAAACTAAGAATCCAGGGCTCATGGTTTAACGTCTTTTTTTATCCTCTCTTTTGGTAAAATGCCGTGCACAAGTGATCAAGTCACAACCACGTCTCGAGATTCAGATTTTCATAGTTTGGATCTTGGATCTCTTTTGCCGTGGAGAAAGAATCGTAAAAGTTTGCTATTTATACAAAGGGTATTTGATGAGTTGATGCCTTTTTGCAAAATTATTCAGGTGATCCCAACTGAGCTGTCTACAGCATTCACCATGATGTGTTCCTCAGCAAAGCCTACTACTGCGGCTAGGGTAAACGGCACCTGCATCAACTAGGAGCTTGACCACTTGCTTGTGGCCTCTTGATGAAGCTGCCTGCAGTGCGGTGTCGCCGTGTTTACTCTGGGCGTTGATGTCGGCGCCCGCGTCTAGTAGCATCTTGACTATCCGCTCGTGGCCTCCTGATGAAGCTGCCTGTAGTGCGGTGTCGCCGTATTCGTTCGGGACGTTGATGTCGGCGCCCGCGTCTAG